CATCAGCTTTCTTCAAACATGTCAGAGCTTCTATATTTACTTGCAATTGCCAGGTACAGCACTCTTATTTCCTTAATGTTAGCACTAATGGCAGCTCCCCAGCTTCATCACTGTTTTACTATTCTAAACCTACAAAATCTTTCCTGCTCAAAGCTACCATGTATCTGCTGATCTAATCACAATGATAGCTACATTAGAATTCTGCCAACTGTCTGACTGGCATCTTTCAGTAACAACTGCATTCTTTGTGTTTTTAAATTTTTGACTAAACCTTGTAACTCAGACGAAAAAAGACATATAAAAAGAATAAATCATGTATATAGAAAAACAAATAAAGCATAAAACAGCTATTTGTGGGGAGGGTATAGCTCAAAGTGCTAGAGCACATGCTGAGCATGCATGAAGTCCTGGGTTCAATCACCAGTACCTCCTCTAAAAAAATTAAATAAAAGCTCTTTGTACACATGAACACATGATCTCTAAATACTTAAAACTTCAAATAAACTCATACTATAATCTACTTCATATCTTGGATCCTAGAATCTGAAATAACTTTACAACATTCAATAATGTCTATTTTGGTTATTAAACCAAGACTCTAAGTCGGAGGGCAGTTCAGAGTTACTGAATGAATGAGTAAAGAAAAATTACCAATATCCCCAAATTCTTTTATGTATTCTATATTATTGCGCTCTACATTTTTTCTTGCATCAAAACATTCTAGACTTTTGTATAACTTCTACAAAAACAAAAAATAGGATAGAAAGATGAGGGCAAAATTTTTTGTCAAACCCTAGACATCAAGGATAGCATTCAGTTTGGCAATTGAAGTGCTTCCCAGAAACAGTATTATTAAAATATCTCATTTCTAAGATCATAAAAATGACCCAGTATATTACAATCCTAGTTTAAAAAAAAGTGAATTAAACAATGCCAATATGTATTTATATTAAACTATAATTTGTTAAATAATAACTGTCATGACATATGTTACTATGTCTGACAATGGTGTCCTGCAAACGAGATAGGAGTCTTTGTCAAGAATAAGTGTGTATATTTTTGTGTTATTTGATTTCTTACATATAAATATTTTTAATTTTAAAAATTAGTTATAAAAGAGAGTAAGTAATAACATGCAACAGTTTCTTGATTCTCTAAAGCACTGCTCAGCTAATCCCTGGAAAGTCTATATTCATAACAGAATTTCTGAAATTATTCTCAAGATAAGTTATGATATTTCTTTCCTCTGAGATTAATAATGATAGGATTCAGGAAGCTGAATTGATTATTAAGTTCTGTCAGGTTCCTTTACCTTTCATTAATAATTATCATATGGTAAATGAAGTACCACTCCCCACCACACCCTTGATCTCTGATACCCTCTTCTGCACACCACAATCTGCAATCCCTGGGATGCTTTTAAAATATGTCTACAAAATCTTTGACTCTTTCTTTCAAGATGAAGAGCTAATTTCCTTGTCTCTGGAGCACTTAGTGACTTATTTCTAATGAATAGAATGAAGTGGAAGTGAAGGTATGTGATTTTAGAGACGAGACTGTAGAAAGTACTGTGGCTTCCTCCATGCTCTCTTAGATTTCTTAGAAGATAGCTGGCACTCTGTGAGGAGAGGATCATACGGTGAGGTCTCCTGCCAACAGTCATGTGAGTGAGCCATCCTGAAAGTGGATCCTCCCACTATGGGCAAGGGCTTCAGTCATCTGACTTCAATCACATGAGATCCTGAATCAGAACCACGCAGCTAAGTCACTCCTGAATTTCTGACCCACAGAAAGTGAGACAATAAATAAATGTTGCTAAGTATTGGGGTAAATTTGGGGTACTTTGTTATATGACTGATAATACAATGAATCCTAACTCATCAAGAAATACTGAGCAAACTACTGTTGTGTACAAGAAGTGAAACTCAGGTTTTCCATTAAACTGAATACTTCTGTAATGCTTCTGAACTATAAGGAGAATACTAAGGGTCATCCAATGATACAGGTTCTGCTACCTTGACTTCTATATGTCCTTTTAGAAATCAACCGCTCTTGCACGCTCTTTGTGTAGGATTACCAAGAACAAAAATTCAACTATAAATTTCACGTTTCTCAAATATTATTTTCTAAAAGGGCCTCTTTCCCCTCAATATACTCCTTCCTTTTCCCTCTACTCTGTGTCTCATTTTCCAAGGCAGCCTGAGTGGTCATTTGCCAAAATGTCTAAGGGTCTTTCCCTTCTCAAATATCCTAACCAAGTCCTAAACAAGACAGTCTAAAGAAAACAAATCTTCAAACTACCCACCAACAGGAGGAGGAAAGCACAGTAGATGGGTAGTAGTAGCTTCCTTCTGTTACTAGTTCAAAGGATTTCTATTAATTTGCTGATCCATTACAGAGGGTAGGCCAACTGACTGGGAATAATCAATTAGTTCTTGAGAAGACTAATAATATAAAAGCATGTTAAAAACAAAAAAACTGTACCATTCCCTTAGCATTTCTGCACACTGCCTTGTAGTTCTTGTCTTGTGTGTACATGCATACTTCTGCAAAATTGCAACCAACCAATATGGAATTTTTTCATTTTGGAAAAGCCTTAATATATCCACATTATTCAAAGTTCTTCAGGAAAGGATTTCACTTGTATTAGCTAAAAGTGAATTTAATTATAACTTAATAAGCATAGATCAACATATATGCCAATGGAAAACATTTTAATTTCAATTGGCCAGTATTTTTCTAAATTCAGCTTAACTGTTTACAATAAATATACAGCCAGCTCTTAAATATTCAACAAATCCAATTTATCCATTCTTTTAAAATGTATTTTCTTTTCTCTTTAATTCTTTACATGTTTAGGCCTCATTAGCACTTTGGCTCTATATGTATACAGAAAGATGAGAAAGTTGAAATATAAGATCATTAACTTTTATATAGTATAAGAAGACTAAGTTGATGAGCTATTCAAAGTATTAAATAAGTGGCAAATAAATCTTTTTCCTATTAGTAAAGATAATTAAGAGAACTCACTGAATTTAGATTTATTTTTTAGTTGGAGATTTAGATTTTTTTCCTCTTATTGTCTGTCCACAAATAAAGTTACAATTGATGCAACATTATTAATTTTTTGGAAATAAGCTATCTTTGACATGATTTCTGTTTCTTACACTTAATTTCAGCCCAGGTGTCCAGATACATGTTTTATAGATAAAAATATCTTACAAATTAAAACCAATGTCATTTAAAAAAGAATTCTGTTCCCATAAACAACTGGCAACACAGTGCCTCGTGGCCACCTCCCACTCCCTCATCTTCGGAGATGGCCTGAACTCTTGTCTATGGAGTATGTAACTACTTTTACTCTAATTTGAGCACCCAACCCCCACACCTCATGGCCTTTCTTTTGCCTTTTGAAACAGCCTACATTCTATGCAGTATGTATTTCTAAATAAATCTACCTTTACTCAAAAAAAGAAAAAAAAAGAATTCTATTGAAGATTCCCTTTGAACACTAATTGACAAACTGAAAACTTTTATAAATAATGACAAATTATCCAAATTTAAAATAAATTATATTATTAATATACGTTAGAGCTTTTCACATCATCCCTTTCGTTCTAATCTAGATTGCTATTTTCAGAAATACCTTCTATGTATTTTGAACTGGAGATATTTTATTATCTTCAAAGAAATGTTAAAATTGTAATAAATATAAGAATTCTGACTAAAAATTAATGGTAAACAATGACATATAGAAGTCCTAGAAATAGGAAAATGGACTGTAAACATTATTTACTTAAGCACTAAATTTATAAGCAGCATTCCTGAATTTTGTCTTCTGCAAAATAAACCTAAACATATTCCAGTGTCATGGTTTCTTGTCTTTATCAGCATTTTTAGATAAATGGAAATTGGAGTGGGGGAGAAGAGAGCTAAATGATTCAACTGAAAAAACCAATAATGATTCTTGGTGGGGAGGGTATAGGTCAGTGGTAGAGTGCATGCCTAGCATGCACAAGGTCCTGGGTTCAATCCCTGGTACTTCCATTAAAATAAATTAAAAAATAAATAAACCTAACTACCCCCCCAAAACAAACAAACAAGAAAGTTAAAAACCCAATAATGATTCTGAATAAAGAAATATGAACTGGGAGATGTGTACACCCTCCCTGTATATGTTTTCATACTTTTACTACATATTTGTGTTTTTATAAATGATGTCAGAATGTTTTATATGATTGAAAAACCTACATAAATTATTCCCAATTTATCATTTTGTAATTTCCATTTTTTATTCAACCTTGTTTTTGAAATCTAGGCATATTAACATATAAGTATTTAGTTTAATTCTTCTAAAATGTTTAATTGTAAAGATGGACCATTCTGCTCTTGATGGATGTCTAGGTTGTTTCTAACCAATGTAGCATGAACATCCTTGTACATGTCTGCAGATATGCAATATCCCTCTCTACATTGCTTTAGTGAAGATTTTTGCTTAAGCTTTTTACATGATTTTGTGTTTTAATTAAGCAAAGGCAATTGGAAAGCTGGAGTGCTATTTTCTAGCCCAGAATCATCTGTGTCTTACTTTCTTAGTTTAATCTTTGTTTGTTAAATCTTTTATTTCTTTGTTAAATGTCTATTATAATAGAAAAGAGACAAGTAGGAAATATGAAATTTAAGCCTCTATTTTACTTGGAAGTAGTGCTTCTATTTAGGAACATGTAAGTCATTTGTTTGTATATATAGAACTTCTGTTTAGAATTCCAGTGGTGGATCCACTCCAGGAAAATAAAATGAGGAAGACGTGTTATGTATCAGCATTTGAACTTTGGTTTTTGCAGAAGCAATGTTAAGGTTGAAAAGAATTTTGTCTACTTTCTTCCTGGTTCCTGCTCACTCCCAATTGTGACAGAATACTGAGAAAGTAATTCAGGAAGTCTATGGGACCTGATTTCTCACTTATTTCCTTCAGGGAATAAACTGGCAGCACAGCCTACCTTTGATTCATTTTCTCTTGGTATTCCTGATTTTCCTTTCTCATGTGGCTCATCAAGAATCAAATTATTCTTCTTTGCTTCACTGTCTTCACGCAGGGGAACACAGACATAACTATTATCTGTAAGATAAAAACCTCTTGGATATAAGTGGGAAATCTTTGTTTTTGGTACCACCTGGAAAAGTAAAAAGAATACAAATCCAAAGCCCTAATTTTAAAGAGTAGAGATTTTAACCTATGAGTTTAAAAAATTCTTTAAGTAATAGTTATTTTGACAATTTAGATTTGCCCCCTTTAGATTTTAGTATATTTGCTTCAAAATTTTCTTCATTCCCACTAAATTGAAAAAACCCTTACTCTTCCAATATCAGTAGTATATAAAATATGTAGAATTTAGAAAACTAGATGTATACTCTTTTTAGCTTACCATCAGTAACAGGAATTAAAATTTTATATGTCATATTTTCAGGTATGCATTTATTTAAGATAATTATTTGCATAATTACTTCATGCTTATTATAAAAATATTAGAAAAATACAGTCATGCCAAAAAGAATAAAAAATAAAAGCTACCCACAATTTTTATCTGTGAATTATTCTTGCTAACATTTTGATTTATATTTTATCAGAATTTTTCTCTTTCAATACATATAAATTCACACAAGAATCTTTGTTTTTGCACAGATAAAATTACACTTATTATTTATCTTGCTTTGCTCATTTTGCTATACATCATGAATATGTCTCATGTTAGTAAGCAAATACCTATTACCACTTTTCTTGGCTATATAGTTGTTCACTACATGAATGACTGTAATATTTAACTACTGAACATTTCTCTATTTCTAGTCTTCCATTATTAGAAATTATACTGTGATGAGCATTCTTGTACATATATCTTTGAGTACTTAAAGAAATACTTTCATATGATGCATTCTAAGGACTTGAATTTTTGGTTTAAAAGGCACAGACATTTTAAAAGCTTTTGCTATTTATTGCCAAATTGACTTCTAGGAAGTTTTGTCAACTTAGAGTTCCACCATATAGTATCTGTCCATATCCATTTTCCCATTTCCGGCAAGTGCTCGTTTCTTAAATAAATACAGTATGTAACTGCACTACAGTTATTAAAATATCAGAACTATTGAGAAACAATGGAGAAATAAAATACAAAAATTTCACCACCACCTTTCTTTTCTCCAAGAAGTTTCAGAAATACATAAAAAATTAACATAAGCATACCTCGACTGGAATTCACAAGGAGTAACTGTGATTTTAGCTTGTCAATAATAGTTTGTTGAAGTGACAGCTGTTCCTGTTGCTCACGTATTATCTGCTCATAGTTCTCAGTCTGCTGACATAAAAACCAGTTAACCTGATATTTACTGACAGACATGTACATACATTTACTGTCCATTAATAATTGCATAGATACGAATTACCCATATTGACATTTCCCAAGTACTGAGCATTTATTTATGAGCTAAAAATAGGCTCCAGCAATGTATTTATAATCATTACAAACTAAGTCATTTAAAACACTGTAAAATTTAAAAAGTCATCTTAATTAAAGAAATTTCCATTAAGAGTTTCAATGTATGGTTTCTTGGATAAAAACTGTAATTCAGAATTTAATCCTTAATGATAAAAAAAGCATGAATGATAAAATAGATGCTATATTAAAGTTATTCTATAAATATCAACTAACTTTAAAAAGTTAAGGTTTCATGTCTTTTAAATAAATACACTTTTGATTTTATTTTTAGAGTACAAAAACACACAAAGGAAGTAGCTCTAACTAAAACACTATGAAAATCAAAGGGACAAGTATAAATTTAAAAATTATATTGATCAGAAACTTCTTTCCTAGATTAAGTTTTAAGGTGTCTTGAGCACACATGGTTAATCTTTAGTGGTTATCTTTAATACCACAATTTCCCTTAACATTTTTAATCCATTCATCTTGCTACTTAATGCAATGGCTGTGAGAATTAAGCAGTGAAAGACGATATGAGTTTGCTTTAGAGAATATAAATGTTGCAGACCTGAAATTTGAAAATGTTTCATTACAATTACCAAATTAATACAGAATCTTAAAAATATATTACTCTATTAAAAAATTCTTTACTAATTTCTATCATTGGAAGAAGAAATAAATAAATGACTAAATTGTAAATTCCTTGAAATATGAAATGAGGTCCTAATAATCTCAAATGTTCTTTAGTAGACACTAAATAGTTGATCTGGAATTAATTCTTAAAGTTCAAAATTAGTGAAGCAATATTATTTTCAAAGACCAATAAGCCTAAAATTCTTTATAAATTACACAGCTATTCCTATATTACCGAAATAAATTAGCTTAAGAAATGAAAGCAAAATACCACATTTTCCCAAATAAAAGGTGAAATTTTGTAAGTAATACACTTCAAACATGAGTAACTGACAAAGCTGATCAGTAACCCAAGCTGTGTGTTGTCTTTGCTTGTTGCTTATAGGTAATCTTATATAACTTGATACTCCCATTAAACTCTGCAAAGTAACTTATACACAGAAGGTATTCAGTACATGCTTACTGAAAAGAAAAAAAAAGAAAAGAAAAAGAAAGAATCCAATTAAAAGAAAATCCAAGTAAATTTTATTATTATGAATATAACAATGAATCTTGTGAATCTGTCTGAACCATATGTCCTATGACTAGGAGTCTCAAAACAGAACCTTAAATACCAAATTCCAGTCTAGGGCTAGGCTTCTCAGAATAAGACTTCTTATTCCTACATAAATTTATATCCAAGCCCTGAGAAAGAGTGGGTAGATTGACTATGAGGAGGATTTAAACCCCAAATGCAAATTCTGTAATAACTTAATTTACTTGGCTACACAGAGCCACCAGGACTGAGGAATCAGCAAAAATGTTGATGTTATAGTCTTCTATCTACTTCTGTGTATTTAGAATTTTCTCTAAAGAAGGCAAAGCTTTTCATAAACATCAAACAATAGTTACCCATTCTTTCACTACTTTTTGATAGGTATATATTCTACTATATACCTTTTTTGTAAGTAACCAGTACAAAAAAGTAGTAAGTTACAAACAGGCTCAAAATAAGTATGTTAAGTTATTCAAGCCTCAGCCCATTGCCCATCTACTACATATTTTCCGTCCCCTTAATGGGAAACCAAACGACCTGTATTTTCTTTTGGAACCAACTCAGAAAACCTCTGCCAGGTGATTTTCATCTTCTAGTTTCTGGCTTAAAAAACATACTTAAGCTCATCTGCATATAACATATAATAAGTGAATAATACTGAAAATATATTCATTAGCTGGAAAAAAAATCAATAGATCAACAATTTCAAGTTGAAGTTTTAAACTATTTCTTAAACCACTTAATAAAGTACTTTATAAACTCAAGCAAATTCTGTAATAATTTGAAAACGAATATTCTGGAAGGATATCAGGGGAAACAGAGTAACAATGATCCATGTTCTTTTACTGCTCTTTCCCTATACTTACATTATACCAATTACAGTATTCTAGTCTAATTGTTTACATGTGTTATTTCCCTTTAGAATATGACCTCCTTAAACTCAAAGGCAGAGACTATTTTCTCCTGGTATCTCCAGAGTATAGGACACTACCTGGCACATATTGAGATGCTCATACTAGTCAAATAAATAAACGAGTTAAGTTGTTAAGGAAATATCAGAGAAACAGGTATGCCTTCAGAAGTGACCTGAAGAATGGAGAAAGGTTTTGTTTATATTTCTATAAGGAAAACAAAACAGAGAGAGTAGGTCAGTAGGTAAGTAAGACAAAAGGAAATTAAGTTTCAGAAAACAGATGCAAAAAAAAAGAAGGCAATGTCTGAAGATTTTTTCCTCCTTTTTTGGGGGAGCTTATACCATCGGAAAAAAGGGACGCTTACACCATCAGAAACAAAGGTACTAAACCGAGAAGAGAAAATACATATTCAGAAAATAGTTTAAAGATTTTGGCCACCAGGTTATGAGAGGGAAAGTCCAGAAGAGGATAGTCTATCAAATTGGGAAATAACCAGCAGAATTCAGTTCATTTGCTATGTTTGGAAACTAACAGAAATAAGAAGCTTTTTTCCTTTTTATTAAATGCTTTTGTTCATTGAGCAAGATGTTAATAAACTTAAAATTTGAAAAGTCCTTTTAAAAGGTCAGATAATTGTTGCACTGTTACAGTAGTTTTTTAAAAATAATACAATTACAAAGTACATTCCAGCACTATCAAAGAACCCACAAAACAGAAAAATCACTAACAACCACATTGAAAATGTACAACAGCAATGTCTTGTCAACACTTCTGTACAGAGCACAGACATGACAGCTAAAACAGACAGAAGAGAAGATGCTTTTGACAGCCAGTGTGTGTGAATGATTCTTTGAGTCAGATGGCAGCAACAAGTTACCAACTAGGAGATCTGCATGACAACTAACCATCCATCTGTATCAAACACCATCTGGCCAAGATGACTCTGGCTTCTGTGTATTTGACACTCTTTCCAATTCTAAAGACTATCAAAACAAGTGGTCTACCAGCATCTAAAGAGGTAAACAGGTACTTAGGTACTTGTGCCATAATATTCTTTGTATTCTTTCTCAGTGTTCAAAAGCAAAACTTAAAACAATGGTGATCAAATATAGTACACATCTTGAATTTACTAAAAATGGTTGTCCATACACACTCTTGACTATCATAAATAAAGCAAAAAGCTTAAGAAACGTCCCTTTATCTAGGCAAAATTTCAATTCATCTTCAAAACTAAGGCAGCACATTCTCCGTAATTTTGGACATACAGCTGCTCAAGTTTTCATGGGTTTCATAAATATTAAAATAAGAGTTCTATAAATTGAATTTTTTCCCTATTGCTGACATTAACAATTCTCATTTTTCATATTTTCCAAAGCACTTATTTCCTAGATAGGGAAAAAAAAGTTCCAGTGTCCTTAAGTCATCCATAATACTCTGAATAGGTCAAACACTATCTCTTCTCTTCCTCAAGAATGAATCCCAATATTCTGAAAAAATACCATTCTTTCCCTCCAATTCTATTAAAAGGAACAGAAATGGAGTAAATGTTGCATGGATTAAAAGAAATAACCTTGGTTTAAAAACCTTTCCAACTGTTTCAAGATTAACAAAGAGAACAAAAGCTTTATTGAAGGATTGCTTGGCTACCATAAAAGCTCTCAACAAGGGAGCTCCACAGTTTATGAAGGATGATAATTAAATATTATTCTAATACATAACACTTTAGACACAAACTAACTGTTTAATGTAAAACTTTGATAAAATAAAAACATCAACTTCAATTTCAGGTTAAAAAAAATGAGACTGTATAGGATTAACAATTCAGAGATCCTGGTTTACACAGTTCATTCCTCAGCCATCCTCTGTTGAGTCTCCTATAACTAGGTTATAAACCCTGCTCTCCCCTACCCTCCTGATACCAAGACTAAACTAGGAGATCAGCAATCTGACAGATCAGATTATCCATCTGATTATCTACTATTAGGTGACAGTGCTGTCAGCAATTTCTCTGCATGCCAAATAGTAAACTATGACAAACTATTTTTAGTTTTTATTTTACAATCTTTTGTTTTGGTCTTGATTAATTTACTCAGCTTCTTTGAGCCTTGGTTTCTTTCTCTCTGAAATGAAAATAATTATTTACTTGAAGGATTGAAGGAGATGGCATGTATAAAATATATGGCACATAATAAGCTATTTGCAAATTCTAGTTCCTTTCCTTTAAGAATGAACAAAGTTTCTGCATAATATCTCTTACCATAGCATGTAATGCATACGTCCATTAACTAAGGCTCTGATTACCATCAAATACAGCCAATTTTGTCACCAGACTTACCACACAACCACGCCGGGCTCTAAGCCAGTTTTCTCAGTCTTTCTTCTAGCTCATTGTAATCTAGGACTCAGAAGTTTCTTTTTGAGAAATCAGTGTGGTATCTCCATTGAATCAAAAACATTCTGTCAAGCAATAAAAAGAACAAAACAAAACAAAAACTCTGGTTGTTCAAAGTTTACAAAGAGACAAAATAGGCTCAAAGATGATTAAGAAACAAAATGGTTGTTAAAAATCCCAAAAGTAGCACATTTGTTAAAGACAACAAAAAAACAACAAAATGTCCACCATCATCACCATAACAAAAACCCATATATGTACAAAGTAAAAAGTGACACTCTCTTCCTTTACTTGAACATATATTCTAGCATACCTATCTAAATATTTTGACAGAACATATTTCTGGAAATAAAGACTTGGAACAAAGGATACAAACATTTTAAATTCTGGTAGGTGGAAAATG